TATAGTGCAGCTCTAATGTCTAGGCAGTTTTGGATGGATTGCCATTAAATTTGATTCACATAGTAATGGTTACAAGAGGACAAATCCTAATGAATTTGGGGATCCCCTGACCTTTTATGTAGCACCATCATGAGTCTTGTGGTAAAATATCTTGCCATGAGATTTAATACAGACATTCTTTAAAAAAAAGAGTGAGTCCTTGATCCTTTATGAAAGACAAAGTAAATACTAGGACTACGAATTTGGCTTTTTAATATTGCCACACGGATGTTTCAGACAAGATGCCTCTCTGGCAGTGTCACCTGGCGTTCTTGAAATTTAATTGTGAATGGATGTATTTTCTTTTGTTCTGAAAACCAAAACAAAAGCCAGAAATGAAGGAAACCTCGGCCACCTGCCTTGAGACAATGATACTTATCATTAAATGGTGTAACCATATCATATCAGTTGGATTCATGGTTTTTTTCTGTTTACTCCAGCCCAGAGACAAAGTCATTCGATCCCAGTTTGCGTGCACGTACAAAGATGAAGAACTGCCACTCAACCGGGTGCTGGAGTTCCCCAGCACCAGCCAGGTCCCAACCTGTGTGCACCCAGCACCCAAACTCCAAACCCTCCCAGCTGTGGATGAAGACTGCAGCTCTGATGTGGAGGAGTCAACCCAAGGTACAGAGTCAAACTTAATTTCATAAAATCCTGCAGGTACTTTTTTTGGTGCTCCACTGCATGCGGAGAAAAGCTCAAAATGTCAACACAAGCCGTGCAGCGTTCTCTTTGTGCTGGGTTAGATTTCTGTTTCCTCTGACGCCACACAGCTGGACTGAGGCCCAGGCACACCTTCTCAGCTCCAGCCTTGAACCCTTCCCAGCCCCAGCCCTGGGACTGGTACTTACCATCAGCCATGAAATGAACCCCTATTCTATAAAACCTGCTCACACCCACATCTGTAGTAAAAAACCAAAAACAACACACACTCACACAGACTTTTTGCCCATTTCCCCTTCTGTCTTTTGTTCCGTGGGAATTCAGGCTCGGCTCCATCAGGTTACATGACAAATGTTCAATTTCAGCTTCACAGAATAAACACACAGCCTGCTTCCACCGGCAGCTAACGTCAGCAATTTCGTCACAGCTTTTTCCCTTTTTTTTCCTACCAGGTTGTCACACTTGCTTTTTGCTTTGTTTCAGTCTTTCCAGCCAAGTCTACATCTGAATGCCCGAATAAGGAGCAGAGCAGCATGCAGCGGGGGGCTGCTCTGGCGCCAAGAAGTGGAAATGCCCAAAACAGAGGTGCAGGCTCGGGCAATAGGAAGAAAACCGCTGGCAATGAGACGCAGAGAAAGGGCAACAAGAGGAAGCAGCAGGTGGAGTCAGAGCAACATGGAGGTTCAGAGAACGAGCCTCCAGAGAAGAAGCAGCTCACTAGTGTCTCGGTCAAAGTGCCTGGCAAGAATGTCGGCAAGGCCTCCAGTAAGAAGAAGCTGATAGCTGGACAGGGAAAGCTAACCAGCTTCTTCAGAGTCTAATGGTTGTTTGTACTGGTTTCATGATGGTACAGTGCGAGAACTTTCTGTCAAGCTGTGTTCATACGAAGCAGCTGCAATTTTTTTTGAAAAATTTTGTGTAGTACATTAATATTCTAATTAAGGCTGCTTTTAATGATGATTTTTAGTCCGAGTTAATCTGTTGACTGTTGTTTTAACAAATACTTTTTGGGAAATTTGCTTACTTGCTGAGAGTTTGATGAATCTATGCTAAATATAAAGCTACAGCTAGCAAATGATAAGCTTATTTTAGCATTAAGCAGAGCTAAAAAGCTAGCCTGGCTCTGATAATTGAGATATAACAAGTTAATTAGTACAATTTAGAGGTGCTAGGCACATTTTTAAAACTTTAGACAGAGCTGGGCAAACTGTTTCCCTCCAGTTTCTATGCTAAGCTAACTGGCTAAGAGTAGCATTTAGCATACAGATCAATTTTTGTATGAAGTAGACAAGATTTAACAAGTTAATTAGTAAAATTTAGAGGTGCTACTGAGTGCCTGGTGTTGTCCCAAGTTTTAAAAATCCAAACTGCAATTCCAGTTTCTAAGCTAAAATAAGCTATCAGTTAGCAGCTAACAGACTAGCAATAGCACTTACCATACAGATCATTTTTGGTTTGTATTAGTTAGCTTTGGAGATTCTGGTTGGAAGCTTTTTTTTTTTTTTTTTTTTTTTAAACTTTTTTAAACAGAGCCAGGTTAACAGTTTCCCCTAATTTCCACTCTTTATGCTAGGATAAGCTAATTGGCTAATGGATGCAATTAATGATGATTTTCAGCCTGTTGTTTCAAAGAATACTTTTTGAGAAATACATTCATTTGCTGACTTTCTCAGAGTTAGATGACTATGTGAAATATGAAACTGGAGCTTGCAGGGCATTGCCCTAAACTACGCTAAGTGGCTAGCAGTAGCATTTAGCACATAGATCAAGTTTTGGACGCATTAAACAAGATATAACAAGTTAATTGGTAAAAATTTAGAGCTGCTAGTGAGCGGATTTTTCAAACTGTTTCCCCCGAATTCTGCTTTTTATGCTAAACTGGCTAACTGGCTTTTTATGCTAAACTAGCTAACTGGCTACAAGTTAAGCTAACTGCCTGGTAGCTGTAGCTTCATACACAGCAGAGTGCTATCAATCTTCCCATTTAACTCTCAGCAAAATCCTAAAATGTCAAACTATTAATTTAATCATTAAGTCTATAAAATGTGGAGGAAAAGCACAAAGTCTTTACATTTGAGAAGCAAGAACCAGCAAATTATCTAGCTTTTTCTTTCTTTAAAAAGGACATGAACGTCTAATCGCTAATCAAAATTATTGATTAATTTTCTGTTGATTAACTAAGCAATATATTGTTTCCACACTAGTTTAACTGCTATTTTTACCTGTTTAGCAGTGTGGAAAATGTGGGTGGCCACAATGTGAATAATCAGTATGACAGCACATCATTGGGAAATTGGTTAATACACTTTCTTTCATCGAGACAAGTCCTGCTTTGTGCTTGAAATGTAGCCTATTTAATCATTAGTTGTACACTTTATTTAACTTGTAAAATTCCACAGCGAAAGTAACTTTGTAAATACGATGCACACTTTTCACTTTTAATAAACTTTTTTATTTTGTTTTACAAGTTTGTGAGCTCTCATTTTCTACAAGAAAATGCATTTCAGTGTAACACATACAAGGGGAAAATTTCTACAGCACAATCAGGGCAGGACGGCAGCACAGGGAGAAACATTTATTCTACCCAGCAGGGTCGGTACACTCTTCCTATCATACACCGCAGCACTGGAAGGGAAGAATAAAGAAAGTGAAAAATACTTCAAGAACATCAAGAAATCTGATATCAGAACATTATTGGACAGGTATTACTTGAGGGGAAAAAAAAGCTTTAGCTCAACTTTTTTTAGCATTAAAACAGAAACAAGGGTTTACAGATACTTACAGTCTTGGTCGGTGTTTCTGCGATCAATTTTCAAACTGTGCTCAGCGGGAGTGTGGCTCAAGCTTTGGTCTGTGAGCAGAGGGAAGGACCGGGTGAAGGCCGGGTTCAGCCCATGAATACTGTGTCCTCTCAGCCCCATGTCCTGAAACACAGTATTGATCAGTGATTGCATGTGACACCGTGAGACCACACACATTTCCGTACGGCAGGATCTGAACTCTGGATCGTCGCAGCTTTCATGGATTATCTTTTCACTTGCAGCACAGGTGTTGGATCTGTCTTTACCAGCTGATCCAAGCCACAGGAACCCCAAATGGAAGAAATGTGTTTCCCCGTTTTTTTATGATATCACAGTGGCCTGTTTTCTTCCACTTCCCCCCTCGGTTCACCCAGATGGCTTTGTTCTCTCCAACATGGCTGCCTGTTCCCTATTACCGCAGAGATAACCACCATGTTCATGACACACAGGAGACGCAACCGCCAGATAAACTCTTAACACATCGCAGCCAAACGTTTGAGGGAGCACAGATATATCATCATTCTTCCCACTGTGATTCCAATAAATCTTTATAGGCTTGTGATCATTTGACCTTTCAGCTAATAGTATTTCCCGATTTCCAACGCTGCTGTAAAAGTTTTTCATAGAGGTGTATGAAATATTGACTTAACAGTAGACACAAGGATGGTGACGAATGAGAGGGGTCAAATGTTCAGTCACAGGATGGAGATAATGTGCTCTTTGTTGCTGAACTATGGTTAGCTGCGGTTGTTTATGGAAAGAAATCTCATGCAATTAATAGTTATGATGCATGACTGTTACTGGCAGAGTTCAGTGACTGCAAACCGAGACTGGTCAGATACACTTTTTTTTTTTTTTGAGGGGGGATAAATGAGCTAAGAGTAGTCCAAATAGCTGGTAACTTTAGACTGGATTAATTTGTTGTTGAGCAAACAATGTTTAAAGGGTTGGTTCACTCAAATAATAAAAAAAGATATGCTCACAGAGGTCTTCATGGGTCCCAAATGATGGACCTGAACCCTAATGGACCTGCAAAATTTGTTCCAAACACTTATTAGTCCCTTTGGGTTTTAAAATATAATATACCCGACCCGTTTTTGCCCAAGACATTAGAGACATGTGTTGACCTTCTCTGCAGCAGCCCTTCGTTGCATGTCACCCCCCCCTTTCGCCCACCTCTCCTGAGTATATGAGATATTCATATATATTTACCATTGTTGCCTCATGTCAGTGTGTGTTTTCTCTGGGTTCTCCGGCTTCCTCCCACAGTCCAAAGACTGACTCTAAATTGTCCGTAGGTGTGAATGTGAGTGTGAATGGTTGTCTGTCTCTGTGTGTCAGCCCTGTGATAGTCTGGTGACCTGTCCAGGGTGAACCCTGCCTCTCGCCCAGTGTCAGCTGGGATAGGCTCTAGCCCCCCTGGGACCCCGAACAGTATAAGCAGTTACGGAAAATGAATGAATGAGTGAATATATTAGAGACCTGACCTGGTATATGTGTAAGAGGAGAGAGACCCAAAACCCAGCCTATTTTATGGACTCCAAAAAACTGGTAATTTAGATTGCAACTAAAAATGCCGTTCTACAATATACTGTTCTTACCCATTTTACTTTATACAATGTCTAATAACATCTAATAGTATTTCAGATGTCCATAATTATTTTATTTTTCATTGTCATTTATTTGTTGTTGTGTTGTTAGCTTCTGTAACACGTTAACTTCCTTGGTTCTTGAATCAATAAAGTACCCAAGTTTACTGTGTCCTTCACAGACTTCACAGCATTTAGGTGTTTCTCTCGTAATCCGTGCTATTCATGGATTTTCTCGGATCCATTTGGGAATTACACATGACGATAAACAGACGCAGAACCATGGTAATGTAAAGGGGCGCTACCTGGACCCAACTTACCATAATTTACCTAACCCACATGGGTCCCAAGCCAGGTCTGATAGCTTCTCCATCTGGAAACAAGTGTCCTGGGTGACACGCTCAACACTGTCAACAGCTTTGACAGCACCCAGTTTTTTTCTGTTTTTCTTCATTAGTTTACGACACAGCCCCTTTAAAGGGATAGTGCACCCAAAAATGAAAATTCAGCCATTATCTACTCACCCATATGCCGAGGGAGGCTCAGGTGAAGTTTTAGAGTCCTTACATCCCTTGTGGAGATCCAAGGGGAGAGGAGGTAGCAACAAAACTCCACCCAATGGAGGCTGACGGCGCCCCAGATTCAAACCTCCAAAAAAACACATAATAGAAACCACAAAATATCTCCATACTGCTCATTCGTAGTGATCCAAGTGTTCTGAAGCCCCGACAAAAAGGTTGTTTGGAAAAACGTCATTTGAACTCTGTTTTTAGCCTCATTGTAGCCTGTAGCTCTGACTGCGTCTTTGTACACCGAGCTCACGTGTGCCGCTTGCGTGCAAGACCAGCGAAAGCACGTGAACACACATGAAGGCTACAATGAGGCTAAAAACAGAGTTTAAATGATGTTTTTCCAAACCACTTTTTATGTCGGGGCTTCACGACACTTGGATCACTACGGACGAGCAGTATGGAGATATTTTGTGGTTTCAATTTTGTGTTTTTTGGACGTTTTAATCTGGGGCGCCATCAGCCTGCATTAGGTGGAGTTGTGCTGCTACCCACTCTCCCCTTGGATCACATATATATACACATATACACACACACACACACACACACACACATATACACACACACACACACACACACATATATACACATATA